CTCTCCCCTGTAATGACGACGACAGTTTTAAAACATCAAAATGTCCATAGAAACTTCTCAAACCAACCTTGCAGCATAATCCAGGTTGCTGCTCTCCGTTTGCATGCTAAGTACATTGAAAACACATATTTTAATGGAAATTATGTGGTTACTTGTTCTCTGAAGGCCCAAGGTTTCTACTTGTACCTGGGGATTTTTGGTGTTAGTTCTGATGAAGCCACTTGGATAAGTGAAGACTTTGAAGTCAAAAACTCAAAGTAAATTTTCATTTGATTTAAGACTTCTAGAAATCCTTGATGACTGAGAATCTTATAGTGCTTTACTTCACATTTGTGTTGCCGTTACCTGAATCTTCATCTTCATCTTACTATACATCTTCATAAATGTTGCGGCACACCCATGCTGTTGCTTCAGCTATCTTATAAACAGCTTCCGTCTCTAACAATTGCACAAGCATTTATTGTTAACTTTTTATTCTCATAAGTCTCATCCAGTGCTGAGGCACTGCCTCTGGTAGCCAGGAAGAATGAAATAAAACACGTGTTACATTTGTAAGTTTTGTTTAACTCTGCTTTTTCGGTATACTTGTCATCTCACTGCCATATGTGTTACTGCTGAAGGAATCAAGGGGTCACCAAAGTTACTCGATTTTGAATTTCTGACGCATGAGGTCAGATACATGTTAATGAAACAAAAAATGCCTACATGTATTGTTTACCTGGTGGAAAAAAGTACAAGAAACATTCTCTTTCTTTCTGATATACACGCCTACATACAAAAGGAACAGCAGCATTAATATTCCCTCAGCGTACACAATCTTGGCATTAGTTTTGACTTTATGTATCACTGGAATGTGGACTGTTGGTGTTGAACACTTTTATTAGAATAATTATATCTCACTTCTGTAAATAGTAGTTCAGCCCGTCTGTCCTGTTTTGTGTTCTTAAACACATTTTGTCTTCCTGCATATAAATTGTTTTCTTGACTAGGACAAGTTGCAGGGCCAGTTTTGTCAACTGGTACATTTTGCTTTCTTCTGCCATGTTTTATCTTGAGCTGTGACTCATTAAGCATAACGTGGCGAATAATAATACATAGTTGTAAATTTGTTAACAAATGAGTAATTTGTCCAGATTTTGTATTATTTCCATTATTGTGTGTAAGCCAAAATGCTTTAGTGTTACACATCTATTTAGCCCTTTTGATTGTGGCTAACAGGTTGCCCATATAAGCACTGTAGAGTAAGGTCTTTTATTCTACATGGCGCAAAGTCATTTTGACAAGCATGTCTCAGAATAAGCATTCCATGCATACTGTATGCTTTGTTCCAAAAGGTGCACAAGACATGCAGAAGTTCCAAAAGACGCAACAGACATGCTGAAGTATGTCACTGGCATTTGCGTCATCAGAAAAGAAAAAAAAACTTTCTGTGTTTTTAGAGAAATACAGCCACACCTACAGGTCATTACAGGCCATGCTGTATGAGCTCTAATGTACAGTATGTTCCCATTACTGTGGCATTGTTGCATTTGTAGGAACATATGGATTTCAAAAATACCACACACCAAGAGTGTGAAGTGCTGAAATGAGTTCCTCCAGGGGATTGGCTGAATAACTTGAAATAGATATGAACATACATACGTATATTTTTCCATACAGGTGGAAAGTACTTTGGTTACAGTGTGAATGACATAGTATATTATAGTATAGTATAGAATTATTTACTTTTTCACTGATTGCAGCCAGTAAATATGTTTTTTTATCATTATTAATTTAATTTCTGATGACTGTACAGTGAAGTAACTCCAATATGGTCTGGCAGTTTGATTGGCAGTAAAGATTGTGACATGTAAAGCATGCAATGAAACTTGCCTTCCCTCAATGAGATACTAATTCATCTGCTGTACAAGATGCCTTCATATTGAAATATTTCAGGTTTAGAAATGGGCACATCTAAATATACTCCCCTTATACTGTCACTGATCTTCCATCGGTAGGTTACATTTAAAGAAATTGGTACTCAAAGACTTAAAAATCATCTAATGCTTATTTCAGCTGTATTGAAGACACCTGAAGCGTCCTCAGTCACTTTTAATGCATTGAACATCCCTGCATGGCACAGCGGTGGAGTAAAAGCTCACGAATTTGAACGATATGTTTTTAAACAGACGACTATTTTATTGTTTTAGTTAATTTACAAGGTAAAAGGCTTTGAAATCTGACTTTGGTAGTTTATTAAGTTGCCACATAATGACAATCAAGAAATGACAAGTCTGGTATAAAGCTGCAGTGCATGGTTAATAGAAAATGTTTTAGATGTGACAGTGCTTTATAAAGGAATGCCATGACTGCTAGCTGCTCTTCAGTGTTCAGACTGCAGACACTTAGTGCACCAGGTGTTTTGCTCAAGATTTTTCCACAAGACAAATGGAAAAGTGCCATATCCTTTAAACATCCCATTAATATGTCTTATAAGACTCACACAACTGAGCACCGAAAGCTCAATTTTATTACAGTTTCTTGTCTTTGTCAGGCATAGCTTCCAGTTTACGTTTTCAGGTAATTATAGCGCTGTGCACACTAGAGTGGCACAAATTAGCACTTTGGGGGAAGAATCAGTTGGCTGGATGCCCATCATTGCCTGTATGGCCTGGACATGATAAACACACAAGCTCAAATGCCTGTAAAAGGCACCCAAAGTGTGTGTCAACATTTTAATGGAGGATGTGGCTTGACTCTGCTTGACTTTGATTCAAGACTGAATCTAAAACTTAACTGTCTTTTAGCACTGTTACCGGACAGTCTGAAAACTAATACAGTTCTCCACCATTGTCTCATCTGATTTTATACAATAAAAGTGGCTGTTATTGTGCTGTCATGACAGGAGAACACTGAAGACTTACTTGTAAAAACAGGCTATTATGGAGGTAAATGCAAAGTCTTAGCAGGAGATGTGAGATAGTACTGAGAAGAGATAGTTTCATGGATGAACTCAACTCAAAGGATGTTCTGACCTAAAGAATAGTATCTTTTCAAGAAGTGTACCTGTTTTATTGCTATATTGTCTGGGTTTAAATGGATGTACTGAAAAAAAGATTATTACAGTAAAGGATGAATTGAGAAGATATAAGGCAGAGTCACGGTTTGGACCATGCCTGTACATGTGTTTGATGTGCGAGGAATCATGTGAGAAGTTTCATGTGGTCTGAAGAGTTTGTCTAGCACAGATGCCATGAAAGAGAACTTGTGGCTGTACTGTATGCTCTGACAGCTGAAGCTCATGGTAGGAAGTGCAGGATAGAGAGCAGTGATTCCTCCTTATTACATGTGGAATTTCCTCCCAGCTGATTGAAGTATCAGCATATTGCTGCCATATTCCTTCCCACAAGAGCCCAGAGTTTTAATAATTTGCAGAATGAAGGGGGCAGATGAGAGGTTATCAAAGTCACTTACATTTGTTTAATCTCCGAAGCACTGCCATTCACTAACTTTTCTAGGACAACAAGAGCAGTTCATAGTTTTCACTAAAAAGCAGTGCTGAAAGCAGACAACTAAAGCTATATAATACAGTCGGCATTAATGTACTCTGTCTACCTGGTGTGTATGTACTGTATGTATACAATAATCAATATGTGCCAAGAAATACTATATGTACAGTGTTTACAGTATGATCATGTGGAGGAAAAATAACAATAAGTAATCTCATGTCATTTAGCTGTTCTATGCAAAGTTAATGTAATCCTCTAATGTTTAGTGTAACACATCAATCATGCAAAAATCTATTGTTGCATTAGCCTTGAAAGAACAATAATAATAAAAATGCTATAATGGTTTTAGCTTCCTTTCCATAAATCATACTCGGAGGCTGGGGAGGGGGCATCTTAACTTGCCACTTCAGCTCATCTGAGCTGTTGAAGGGATGCTGAATACTGATATGATATTGAACAATAACCGGAGCCGCAGTTGGTCACTTTCAACCTGAAGTGGTTTGAAATATTGCGTGACACAGTAAGTCGCTGCTTCAACAGAAGTTGACCCAACACCTTCTACAATGACATAAAGCAGTTTTCTGTTCGATAGCCACTCAACAAAGGGCTGTAAATCAACAGTAAATGCATAAAAACAGTGCATAATGGAAGATTTATTGTAACATTGCAAATCCTTTTAAACAAATATTAAAATAAAACCCAAATCAGCCGGAACGTCATTTAACAGGTCATGCTCACTTCAGTTTTGAGCTGGGCTGGGGTAGTTGACAGGGGGTTGGAATTTACATCGACATTAACATTTGATTAATAACTCGGCTCTCACTCTCAAGACGGGTTATGTTCTAAGTGTATATGTCTGTGATGTATGAACAATGCAAATAGAATCAGCACATGATTGGAGCACAATTTTCTTTCAAATGGTTAAACAGCACATTAAGATGAATATATGAATGTAAAAGTACACCAGTTAAGAAAATCTCCTGTTCAATAATGTATCATTATACAAACAGTCATGTAGCCAAACACATACGTATAGAGAGAATTGCTGAAGAGCACAGCTTTCAGATTTGATAAGTGGAAGTGCATTTCTACCATGTGGTTTCAACCTGGGACCTTTACAAGTGCTTGTCAGAGTAGTGCTCCGACTGCCTGAAGAGGCTTTTCGATTTCACAGAGAATACACTCTTCCCAGGAAGTGGGTGGAGAAGATAATCCAAAATAGGAAAAGAAAAAAGAAAACTAGAGAATTAATAAACCTTTTTAGTTGGCATAATCATCCATTTTGAACTTAAACTGAACAGAGCAACAAAACAAATCATTTTTGGGGAAAGAATACATGTATTTTAATGCCCTCAAGCAAAACTAATTAAAGACGACACCTCATTTACATAAATAAGCATTATAATTTGCATGCATGCACAAGGGAATAGAGTCAGAAAAGAAAGCAATGTTTTGCAGTCTGCTAATTTCATTTTATTCAGGATTTAAGCTTAATAAAGATTCATTTTGCAGGGGAAAGGAAAATAATCAAAGGGGAAATTTGAACTATCTCCAAAGATGCAGCAGCCTTCTATTGAAAGGGCTCTTTCCGAGTCACCAGATGACTCCTAATCTGGAGTGGCACTTCTTGGCACAGCTCCAACACCAACTCCTTGAAAGGTAAAAAAATTTTAGAGCCCAATTTATTAGTATGCAGTTCTGGCATCGGGTAGAGAATTAATGGCGGTGACTGATAATGACTGTAATCGTGGCACAAATGGGGTGTTGAAATAGCAAACAACGGGCACAAGGCATGTAATGGGGATTTTATTAATTACCCGAGGTCCCTAGCATGAGCAGTCTCCAGGATTTACTGTGGCCATGCCAGCCGGTCGAGAAGGGGTCGGCCAGTCTAATCTGACAATGAAAGGGTCACTACAGAGACTGCAGTGTGGGCAAAAGGGAGTAATGTGGCACGCTACTGCGCTTGCTTTAAAACTATAATATTATGAGACCTACTAGTTTTGGAAAGACAAGAAGGGTTGTAGTCAGCTGACTTATTTATTGGGGTTTGGATCATATTCAACATCACAATCCTTGAGTACAGTACTTTTCAGTGAGTGGTTACAAAGAGCAGGACTAGAAAAAAGAGGCAAATTTGATCATTCAGCAAGTGTTTAGTCCCAGAAGAAAACAGATAAGAAGACCAGAAACAAGTGAGATAGATTACCCTGTTTGGTCAGAGTATTTTGATTAAGTTATATAGTAAATACATTCACCTACAATGAAATAAGCTCCCTCTATCTCTTTGTTGGCTATTAGAAAAAGAAATCAACATATGGTGGCACTGTCAGGTAGGATAGCCCATTCACACATCAACTCATCAACAAGAGAGGATTGATTAAAAGTCCTTTTTATTACTCACTGCATCCTTAATGGACGCTAGACTTTCAAAATGGAAGAAACAATTAGAGTTTTACTGCTTTGTGGGCACTACTGATTTATATAAATCACTGCACGGGTGTAAATTTTCCAATAAAAGACTGAACCACTCCTAGCATACATAATCAACATGTCCACACTTTGTTCTCACTCTAGAGTTGCACAATCTCTTTAAATTGGTAGGACTCAACAGTCACACCAATTCAAGCATCAAGCATCAAGCAACACCCAATCAACAGATTGGGTGTTGCTTGATGAAAATTTCTAAACTGTTTCTATATGCTTTACCGCTGCTCATCATACCCAGTGCTTTAGGGCCAAAAAGACAAACAAGGCAAACAAACATGGCTATGACTACTTACACTTCAGTGTTGAATGAAGATGAAATTAAATTAAGTTTACTCTAGTTCATATAGAGCAGTTAATATGAACCCTGGAGAGATTTACCCTATAACGGCCAGGACACACTGGCCATGTCTGCAGCGCGTTGTTCGCCATGGACCATCTTGTAGTTCACCGCCCATGTTAACAGGTAGCAGCCACACTGCCTATTGAGATCCTTTTGAGAAAGAGATTTATTTGGAGTCATTTTGATGCCAAATGGAATGACAGGTATCGTATTATTATATGGTGATGATAAGGGTTCTTGAAAGTTTGCCTTATGAGGACAAATAGCCAGTATGAACCTCATAAAGTGAGCGTAGGGTTAATGTGGTCACTGTCATACCCTCAGTTGAAACTTAGAATAGGTGGGGCCATGCTGCGCAATGCCCAATATAAAAATGAAACTCCCTGGAATATTATATATTTCAAATTTGGCTGGGTGCTTAGATGCAATTAAAGTGATACTTTGTGAAATGTATCTTTGGAGTATCAAATAACCACCATCTGTAGAGCTGAAGAGTTTTGAAGTTTTTATCCTCATTGATAAAGTGGTGGTCGTCAGATCAAAATAGGGAAAAGTTTTCATGGAAGAAAAAGGGTATTAGAGGTCAGCGTCAAAATACAAGCAGTACACTTAAACCTTAAAAACATGTTGCAATTGGAATCCATTGCAGTCTACATGGATTTAAGTTTTCGTTCTCAAAATAAGTGAAGCCATGACAACTTTGGCTCTTAAAGTCCATCACAGTGGCACAGGTGCAGTTTGAACGAAATGAAAACAAACCTGTAGATCTAATAAAGTAACTATTTGTCCTGATTTGTATTAAATGCCCAGAGAGTAAAGAAAGAAAAAGCTTGCCCAGATTCTTCTTTTCCTCTTTTCACACAAACATAGATGCATACACACACCCTGAAACTAGACAGCTGTATTGTGAAATCACTTCTGAAAAGACTTTGAAATCATTGATAAATGAATTAAACCGTGAGATCTAGTGTGATTATGTTAGAAGCGTGGGGCAGGCACAGGAATGCGTCATCCACAATGTAACATTAACATTCTTAATACTGATGTGAAGTGTTTTCAGTTCAGTGAGTAAAAATCCTCAAACCTGGCTATTTTTCTGTCAGCAAAGACTCTGAAGTAAAAAAATAACTATACATAAAGTAAGGGGACCAGCTGGCACATTGCCTTTTATAGGAAGGATGATGAACGTGGATGCCTTTTTGCTCAAGTCACATTGCGTGACAAAGGTGTGTGTATATTGTACAGTATATTTATCTCATACCCATGCCCCAGGGCAACTGTCGGTAACATAACCTCAGAAAATCTCACCATTCAGGTTCATATTTTCTCTTTTTGTCCTGCACTTGCTTTATAATGTGAGTCGTTTCCATTGCTCTCAAAACATGTTTTTTTTTTTTTTTAAAGCTCAATTTTCAGGCTCAATTTTCATAAATAGTTTTCTTTTACCATAACTTGAGTAACCCTCTGTATACTAAATGATCTTTGAAACAATAAATTACAATCTGGAGACCACCAGAAAAGCCACTGACTGCCCACACTATGTATCAAAGACAAACATTTTTATCTTCCGTGTAAGCTTATAACATTTAGTTTGCAACAATGTTTGATATAAAATATACAACACTGCAAATGCCTTGCGTTAACGTTTCTCTGAGAGAGGGATTGATTTTAAAGAAACTTCTTTGGTTTTCATCACTCAATAAATGTTCATCACCTGATCAAGTGGCTTCACATGGGCACAACACGCACAGTCACTGAACAGTTAACACATTTCTGCTCCTGTGATTGCTGTTTTATCACCAAAATCAAAATATGCAGTTTTTTAGAACCTTCCCTCATTCGCATGTTCTGACAAGGCTTTCACAAGTGGCTTGGCTCTAGGTTGTGTTTATAGTATTACTGTGTTCTTTAGTGTACCTTGTTTTTATTTAAACATTGTTTTTTAAGATTGTTGAAAAAATGTACCTCATAAAAACAAATGTTTAATAAATAGAACACACTTGAAACTGATTTGCAAATAAAAAGTTGTTTTTTAATTTAATAGGTCTTGTAATATTACTGTTGTGTGTCACTTTAATTACAGTAAGAGGTCTATAAACTGAATTTGTATATTGGAAATATTGAATGTCATTTTCCCAATAAAACTGATAAATATATCCTGTTAAATGCAGTGTAGCATTGCCTACTAATTTGTGCTTTCTTGTCCCAGAGTCATCACTGTAATGGAAAATACCGGTTTGTGGCAAATACCAGAAAGTACATACCCCATTTACTTGTGAAATACCCATCCTACTGGAGCTTTTGTGTTTTACCTCAAGTACCTCTTCCATGGGTGTGTACATTTTTTTTCAACTAGTGAGGTCATGTGTGAAAAATTTATTTAAAAACAGTCATGCCATAACATATCAAAACCTGTTTTTGCGTAATGATCTAGACATTAAAAAAAATATAAACCCCATCTTAAAACGCATTGAAAGTTCCCTTCTTGTTTTGTTTGTTTTTCCTTCTTCTTGTCCTGCCTCTGAGGTGAGAGGGAGAGACTTTGAAACTAAAGTTGGCAACATTCCTTGGCAGTGACACAGAAGTATCACCTTATTGCTCACGTTTTGACACATGAAAAACACAAAGAGCTGAACCAGATGTTCAGGTTCTGATCTGAGAACAGATTCCGTGTTTAGCAAGATAAGTGTAAGCATATACTACTTATATACTACTACCACTATAAATGTTAGCAACTGTCAAATTGAAATGTATTTTTTTCCCATCTTGGTGCCAAGATGCTTCTCAAGTATGTGTTTTAACTCAAGAATAGATTGGATATACTGTTGACTATCTTTAAGTTAAGTTTTGAGCAATTGTGCCAATCACTAATCACGGGATCAACATGTCCACACTTTGAACTTACTCTAGACTCACACAATCTCTTTAAATTGGTAGGACTCAACAGTTAAAGCAATCCAGCTCTTCTGTTTATTACACATTTCCAAACTTTGTTGCTCCTTCTGGTGATATAAAATCCTCTCTTCTAGCAGAGATTTTTTTATCCTCCCAAAAATATGTTTACAGAACAACAAATGTAAAAAGCTTTTTCAAAGAATACACTGAATTAGTCTGAATTAGTATTGTGTTATGTAAATCAGAAACCAGAAAACAATTATGCACCAATTATTACTGGAGCCCACTGTGAACAAGAAGTCAGAAGCTACGGAAGTAGCAGTCCCGTGTTGGGGAGGAGATCCCTCTGTGTTCCAGAGGTGTCTCAGACAGGCGTGTTGCCTCACCTGGTCCTGTGTTTACCTCAGATGGTAGGATTAGGAAGCAGCCATGTGGAAGATAGGACTCTAATCCATCGTGCCTTTACTTGGCACTCAGACACAGTCCTCTGCAACACTTCCGCTCTCTAAAGGTAGAGCAACGCCCTTAAGGAATATGAGAAATATCAACAGCATTTTGAGACTCTCAGTGTGATACAGCAATATTTTGACAGCTATGTGGGGTGCAGTTTGCCTTGTGGAGGAGGGTCGCAGGTGGGCTGTTCGGGAGTCAATGAGAGTGGGTGTAATGATAGTGTCTTATAGTGTTCCTAGCAGTCATCAACCAGTTGATAGATTCAGATACACAAGATGGATCTGTGCATCATATACTGTCCAAAGCAGGCAATAACTGCAGATCTGTGCCTGTCCTCTGCCAGACATACTCTCATATTCCTTTTTCATTTTATTACTTATTGAATATTAAACTCTTTTCTGACCTACACTGACACATTAGTTGTGCTTTAATTCTCTGGTATGTTGTAAAACCACTTTGTTTTTCTAATGAAAAGTACATCAGTTCATATTTTTGTTAGCTGAAACATGTTGTCTTTTTAACTGAATAGCCATTGAATGGAGACCCATAACTTCTCACAAGGAAAACGTGCCTCTATAAATTACGCGTAGGTACATCATTTTGTGCTTCATTGTGCACCCAGCACTTTATGAAGTAAACAAGTTGAAGACATTGAGCTTCCACGTTTACAGTGTTTGTCTGTGTATCTGGCTGCTTGGGTAAGAATAAAAGCTCTGTTAATGAAATTTCAAATAAAGTTTTGTTTTTTTGTTTTATGCTGAAAAGGCAGTAAACACAGACTTTCTAATAAAACGGTCCCAACTACTAAACACTGAATAATAAAATCACTTCTTAGGAGGCCCAACTACAGTCTTATGATAACTTTGTTTGATAACAGGATAAGGTTCACACAGGGCAAGGGGCATGGTCAAAGCTATACATTATTGTGCACATTATTTACATTATCATTAATGTATTACTGCTCAGGAGACTGTGTTGAGAGTTTACACACTTTATCGTGTGTTTTTGGTCAGAGGGCTCGCCCTTGATCTCGTAACCACATCACCACCTTCATCACAAACTGTAGAAAGCAAAACTCTTATTTATCCAATGTGCTGATAATTAAGCCGTTCTCATTAGTGACATAATTGGAAATGTAATTAGCAATAGTAATAGTTATTGCATTTAATACCTTTTCTCTTTAGTTATCAGGCTCATTCAAACTGGTAATTAGCAGTCATAAGAATTCCATACTTTTGTCCTAATCCATTTTGGTTACCAATTATTTCTGTTGTATTTTACATCAATAAATCATTACCACATTCATTTAGATTTTTCAATAAACATACAAACACTTTGCTTGCCAATTTTTAGATTAGAAAGAATACTACGATTTAATTATGTTTTATAGTACCAAAGCACTACCTGCATTGTTTCAACTGTTCCGTAACTTCACTTGTCAATCAGCAAGGAAGACTGACGTTTATGGGAGATGTTGTCATAATTTTGAGAAACACAAAATGTTACCAATAGCACCTTTTAAAGATGACATGTTTCATTCGCCTTGACCTTAATAGAACAAGCCCCCCTCTCTTCCTCTGCTTTAACCAGCTGCTGCTGAGGTGCTCCCTTGGTCACACCTGGCTGAAAAACAGTGTCAGGATTCTTGGCTTTCCCCTGTCAGACTTTAACCTTTTACATCAATCTGTTTGCACCAGAGAAGTTGCTTTTCAACATAGAAAAATCCCTAAGATCAAGAGCTTCAAATCTCTCATTTCAGAGAAACTACATGTGATGGTAAACAGCTGTTTTATGTTTATCTACAGAAATCAGATGGCAGTATAGTGAGCATTGGCCAGAGGCGATAACTCCTCAGCGGATTCAGCTTCAGCACAGATTGTTCAACGGGAAGGTGAGCCTTAAACTTATATTCATCGCTCATTGCCCACAGTATACCAATATTTGCTTCAAATTAAATAACAAATGTACTCAATAGCTAAGACAGTGATGGGTAGAAACATTTCAAGTATAAATTGGGGCTGGATTGGTTTGCCATCAATGAGCGATCAAACTAAGTCATTTGTAATTCAGTTGTATGAAAAAGCATTTTGCACAGTTATCATTAATTTTCTGTTTCTGTCAGCGGGAAACAAATTATTGGATCATTGACTTTACTTTCACAAAACACAAAATGCGGCTTGTAATGTGCAGTATTGGTGTCTCTGCTCCATGTTGAAGTTGCACCTCTGTTTCGAGGAACAACTTAATTGTCTCAAACATGCACACAAGCAGCACGCACGAGTCATGATACCCCAAGGCCTAGATTAATTAAGCTATGAAAACCCACGAGCAGAGAGCATTCGACAGGTGCCTGTTTGCCTTGGTATGGGACTTGTTTTTGGCAGTGGTGCAGTGGCTCATTATAAATCTATAATTAAGTTACAATTTTATTTGCTTTTTTTAACATACTGTCATAGGGGATCAACATGGCTTAAACTCTGATTCTGTTAAGTGCACTCTTGGCTATATTGCTATTGTATCTTCTATTCTTCCTCAGGAATTATACTTTGACAAATATGTGAATGAGAGACTCAGAGTGATACTGTGTGTCACTCACTGGCTGTTATCCTGTGACTCTTACAGGTGTTCTTGTTTTCAACTTGCTGTTGAGGTGCATCTCGTAATTCTCAAAATCTCTTGATTTGATCTTAATCCAAAACAAGCTGATTTGCAACCCCCCTCCCTTCCTCCCACTCTCTGTATCTCAGCACAAAAACAAACACTGTGCCCTCCCGCTGGCTGAAGGGATGGTCCTCAGAACCCCCACAGTTCAGCTCATCTCGTGTTGGGGTGTGTTGGCAGCACTAAGTGAATGCGATGAAGCGGCTCTCTCAGGGCAACGTCTGTTATTTTGAGTCACCTGCCAGCAAAGAGGGAGGGTGAGATGCACAGCAGGGGCCTGAAGGAGGGATGAGCAGGGCTGTGGGAGAGAATCCCCCTGCCTGCAGGGTGGTCAGACTGAATGAGAGCCACCACCACAGTGGAAACGTTTGCCAAGAGCTCGCTCAAGCTAACAATGTGGCCTGTGGAGGGGCAGACTGGGAAGGAAATTGAGGTTAACAACATTGTTACATATTAAACAGGGCTCGTCTGTGCGTATAGTATGTGGAATGGTAAATCCTTGAATAGTCAAGCATGTTATTCAGCAATGAAATCTGTAAAAGATTCTATTATATCTAGGTTATTTCTGGTTATGCTATTTTAAGGAACTAAGTATACATTTTTTTAAATTATATACCGTGAGTTTATATGTGCTGTAGAAAATCTGCAGTACACAATGTTGTGTTTTTAGTTTTAATAACTTAATATTGAATTATACTACAACTTCAACAACTATTTACTGTTAAAAGAACAATATGCATTTCTTAAAACTCACCAAATTTCAAAATAGTTTCAAACATATTGCTTATATCTCAAGTACCCTCTGAAAAAGTAACACTGTAAAAGTCTATATAAAAACAGTCTAGTTGAATCTTAATTTAACAATACGTCTGCAAACTCTCTTCAAATGAAGCAACTAACCAGCAGTCGTGAATATTATGAGTTTTTTCACAGGTGCTAATTGTACA